GAATCCTCGTGGCTGGGTCGGGTGGTAAAAACCCAGCCCCTTGGCTCCGGCACCACCACGGCATGGGGACACGTTGTTTGTCCCACTGCAAAATCCTGCTGTGTAGGGTCCAGCTGCTGGTTTTTTTGGCATCACTAGTTGCTCTCACGTTTTTGGACCGTGAAAGGTGACGTGTCGACCCAATTCTTTTTTTTTTTTTTCCTCCCAGGTTATTTACAATATGCAGAAGCTGTATCAGCTGCTAGTGCTGACGAGTGATTCTTCTGGTCCTTTTTGCCCTCAAATTAAACACCCAAGATGAAAGCGTGAGCCTTAAGTAGGAGTTAGTCTTTAATTCCAGGGCTAAATCATGCCTTGCGACATCTTGCGTTACTCGGATGATGCAATAACTCACCCTTTGCCTAATACCATTGCTCAAATGGCAAGGTCCTTCAGCCTGGCTGTAGGAGAGCTAAAATATCTCATCTTGCCTCTTTTTTTTTTTTTGGGTTTGTTTAGATAGGCTGGAAAAAAACCAAAGCCTGGGAGAAGATGCGTAGGCTCAGCGAAGGCGTTTTGGAGGTGATGAGCTGGTTTTGAGGGCTTTTGGAAGCCCTCAGATTGCTCGGAAACGTGGTATTGCAAATTCCTGTCCAATTTGCTTCATTTTTAATTTCTGATGAGTCCAGTTCTGGTCTAAACAAAGCCATCACCCTCTGGAGGGGCCTTTTTTTTTTTTTCCTTCCTTGACTAGAGACCAGTTCATCCCATCCTCAGACCAACGTCCTTCGGAAGTGCCGGTCCTTCTGTAGTGTGAACCCAGCTGATGTGGGAGCTGCTGGAGGGCTGGAGTCAGAGCCGAGTCTCCCTCCTCATCTTGTCTCGCTGAGATATGAGATGCAGAAAGCATGTGGAGGTCATAGAACCACAGAATCATTTGGGTTGGCAAAGCCCTTTCAGCTCCCCCAGCCCAACCGCTCCCCTACCCCTGCCATCCCACCCCCAAACCCTGGCCCTCAGCACCGCC